GGTCTCTTTGATTGAATAGTACTAATAACCTGCATAAAATATAAAAGATAATAACTAAGAGACCTGTTTTGTAAATAAGCAGTCTTTTTGGATTTAACACAAAAAAAAAGGCGGTCTGATTCATGGTTTGTGCTAACTACCTAACAGCTAACTAAGAGATCAGGTATGAGAGATGATACACATAAACCGATACACATAAATTTGGTTTATGTAGGGTAGATAGATATAAACTTCCAATGAGAAGTTGCCATATCAATGCTAGCCAAAAAAAATAAAAAATAAAAAGGAAAAATTTGTGGGGGGGGGGGGGTAGGAATTAATTGAGTTTAGGCGCCCAAATGCAAGCAGTTGTGGGAGTTTTTAATGAGGCGCCAAACATGCATTTAATGCACTCTTATCCCTCCAACCTCTTTGCAATTAAAAAACAACATGCTTTAATGCATACTAAATTACTAATCCCATCAACTGTTGTTATTTGCAAACTATAATATAGGTTGAATACTAGTACTATTTAAATATATACTGTTACTAAATTAATTTCAAACCTACAAATGTTTGTTATTCATGTAATATTTAAATATAATAGCAATAGACAAGTTTTCATTACTGCATTTGTAATTAATATTACGGAAAATTCACCATGTTAACAAATCGATATATAGTTTTAATAATTATAGTATGCACCATTGTTATCTGCAAACTATAATAGAGGTTGAGAATACTATTGCAATAAATATTGTTACTAATTAAATTGCAAACCTACAGTCATTGGAACCTGTTTTGTTACTCAAATACTTGATTTTTTTAATTTATTGTTTTAATTTAAAATTTAATTATGATATAATGGACTTCAAACGTTTGATGGACTTTAAAAGTGAAATTAGTTTAAGTCTCGTGCCATGCACGATTTTACTAAATTTTATAGTGAATTATATTGCAACAATTATACCAAAAACGTAAATAAAATAGCTAGAATTTCAATTTATACTCATGCCAAAGACATCAAGATTATTGATGCAAAAGACTTAACAAATCAAATAAAATGAAAGAAGTTTATGGATTATGAGGTTTTATACTACCCCTTATAAAAAAATATAAATTTTAGATTAGTTACCGTATAATACACACATACATGAATATTCCCTTCGTCCCTAATTTATTTAACATACTTTGTTTGACTCAATGTTTTATGCAAATTTATTTGATTTTATTTTATTTTCTGATAATTAATAACCATTTTTTTCAGAGTTATTGAGTTTTTAGGGATTTTTACATAATATATGAGTAGTATATATAAATTTTTATTTATATAATAACATTTGTTTAATTAATTTTTTTATAGGTTATTATTGCAAAAATTATGATGTTGATGTAGAGAAGGAAAAATTGTATTCACGACAAATTATATATTTTTTATTGATTAGTTAAGATTGTGTACGTATTATATTATTATAGTTTTCTTAGTTGAAAATACTTTTGCCCAGTAGAAAATTAAAGAATATACATTTATATATGTTATTAAAATATTTTCTTCTCTAATTGAAATAGACTATATTGCCAAAATAATAAAGTTGGAGGAAAAAAAAAAAGATGATTATACATAGTCCTTGGCCAAATATACTACTCTAATTATATAATACCTTAAATATGGAAATTAAATATTATTGTTATTGAGGTTTGACCAAAATAAAAATCAAGAAAAGAAAGAAAAAAAAAGGCGGGAAAATATTTAATCAGGAGACGACACATGTCTTTCTTGATTGGCCTTTAGTATATAGTCATAGATTATGCTCCTTAATTTAATTTAGTTAATTGTTTATTATAAGACACTACAATTAATCTTGTAACATACAACTATTAACTCTCGATCAATTATTTTACCAATATTAAGAATATATAAAAATAAATATTTACAAAGTAAGAATAACTCTTCAAATGCTAAATGTTTGCTTCAAAAATCCAATATTAATGACAAGACTTGAGTTGAAGCGTTAAACTAAAGTAGTGAATGGTTAAAATCAAATAGTGGAGGGTTAAAAAAATTTAATTTGGAATACAACAAATAGTTATATATGCAAATTAAATAATTTTTTTAAAATATATTAATAATAAAACTGTACTTAAAATTTTGAAATCTTTGTTTATATCTTGTAAGTAGATTTCTAACTACTCTTCATTTTATTATTATTTTTTCTACATTTTCGTTAGCATTACTTGGTCACATTCGTTAATATTAAATTTAAACATAAGATTTCACATGAGAAAAATATTTTCAAACAGAGGATTTATAATATTAACTCATGATCAATTGTGAAATTTTTATAAAAGTATAATTATGTTTCTTAGTATTAACATTAGATAATTGTTTATTAGAATATTGTATAATTATTAATCTTGTAATATACAAATACTGAATCTTGATCAATTACTTTACAAAAAAAATGATTTTTTGCAAAAATAAATATTTAAAAAATAAGGAGTAACTTTTCAAATACTCAATTTTTGCTACACTTACCCAACACAAATTAGTTTGGAGGGATTAAATGAATTAGTGAAGGGTTAAAATCAAATAGTAGGGGGTTAAAATAAATAACATTTGGAATATATAAAGTAGTTATCGGTTACTAATAAATATAGCGTTATGTGAAACAAAAGTTTCAAATAACATATTTATACTTCCTCCGTTATATACTAGTTGCAACTTTGGAATTTTTAATTTCTCACCAATAATACCCTAAAGTTGCAACTAATCTACGTTTTATTATCCTTTTACCTTGTACGAAGATCTATAACTAATCTACGTTTTATTATCCTTTTCACATCAACTTATAAGGAGATTAGTAACTAGAATCAATAAATAAACCATTGATCCAATATTGCTTGCAGTTGTAATATGATTTTATTTCTTAATATTAGATAATCAGTTATTTATTCCAAGGCACAAAAATTATTAAACTTGTAGTGTACACATACTAACTATCGATCACTTGTTATTTTTAAAATGAAATGATGTTCTTTTATAATAATACAACTACTAAATCTCAATTAATTGTTCTACAAAAAAGTGAAATTAAGCTACTTAATATTAATATTAGATAATAATTGATTATTAATATTGTAATATACAAATACAAACAGTAGATAATTTGTTTTAGCATATAGTGAGATTATGCAAAAATAATCAGTTACAAAATATAATAGTGAAGGGTTAAAATAAAATAGTGGAGGGTTATAATAAAATAATTTTGGATTACAAATAATAGTTATCGGTTACTAATAAATATATAATTTTTTCAAAAAGAATATAAAATGCAAAATAAGTAAAAGTTTTAAAAATACTAATAATAATACTTAAAATTTTCGAAACAATGTTTACATCTTGTAAGGACATTTTCAACTAGCATTACTAGTTATGTTTTCATGGCTTAATATTAATATTAATATTAGATAACTAATTATTTTAAGGCACACCATTTATTAATCTTGTAATATAAAATAAAATAGAAACTCTCGATCAATTGTTGTTTTTTAAAAGGAAAATTATGCTTCTTAATATTGAGATATTTAACAACTAAATCTCAATATATAACATGTTTTATCAAAAAGTAAAATTATGTTCCGTATATTTATATTAGATAATTGACTATTATAAGGACAAATAGCACCTCTCGATCAATTGTTATTTTTTAAAAAGTGAAATTATGCTCCTTAATATTATTACTACTACAAACATGTCTTAGAACTTACAATTGTTAATTGCATCAATAACCAAATGTGCGGGATATTCACCATGTTAACATCTTCATACTTTATATTTTTATAGTATACACCGCCATTATTTAAAAACTATAATACAGGTTTTGAATACTAATTAAATAATTGTTGTTCCCGTAATATCGTTAATGAATACTATTTAAATAACTATTGTTACTAAATAAATTAGAAACTTACAATCGTTACAACCCGTTTAATTTTTAAGATACCTGATCTTTTTTTCCCTTTGTTTTAGTTTCAATTTCAATTATCAATTTATTGACTCCGACTGTTTCATGGATAGGAAACCTTGATGTTTGGTGCTAAAAATGAATATTAATTTCTTATTTATATGTCATCGTCATAATTCAAGGAGTTTAGTCCATTATGAATAATCCAATGCCTAACATTTGTTACTGGTCAATAATCTAACTTGAAGAAATTTATACTTTGATGTTTTGAATATTGGAAAACTGTTCTTCAAAAAAAAAATGGAAAAATTAAAGAACATTGGAAATAACGAATTTCAATTCACATAATATAGTACAATTAGATTGAACAACTACATGGTTGGGGTGAAAATATAACATTATTTGTCTTCAAAACAGTTTAATAATTTGAAAAATCAATACAATGAAGCTAATGTATTTCATGGTATCAACAGTCTAAGGTACGTCTTCTCTGTTTTCCGTTGCGCCCTAGCGTTTTCTGTCCATCCTTTCTTCCGTTCTTTCTTCTCTTCTTTCTCTATTTTTCGGCAGCCATCATGTCGAACAATAAATCCTCGTTCCATCCGGCTCTTGCCGTATCAAACATCAAAAATCATATTTCCATCACCCTTAAGATGGAAAGTATTCAATACTCTACATGGCAGAACTTTTTAAGATTCACGCACGTTCTAATCGGGTTCTTGACCATATCATTCCCCCTGCTCAAGGCAAGGAGAAGGAGATGGCTCCTCCAACCTAGGCTGAGAAGGAGCTTTGGTCGACTCTCGATGCCACGGTTTTATCGTGGATTTATGCTACTATCTCCAATGACCTCTTGCACACCATCATTGAACCCGATGCGACGGCAATGGAAGCATGGAATAGATTGCGTGATATATTTCAAGATAATCAACATTCCCGTGCCGTTACGCTTGAGCAAGATTTTTCCACTACTTCAATGGAGGATTTTCCCAATGCTTCTACGTATTGTCAACGCCTCAAATCTCTTGTCAATCAACTCAAGAATGTTGGGCTCCGATGTCGGATAGCCGGATGGTTCTAAAATTGGTTCGGGGTCTTACCAAACTGTACCGTGGTGTGGGTACGTTGATCTGTCAGAGCAATCCTTTTCCCTCTTTCTATCAAGCCTGGTCGATGCTCATCTTGGTAGAGGCCGGGATGGCCAAGGAGGCGACTACTGGTTCTGAGTCTGCAATGGTGGCCGCATCTTATGATGATTCTCTGGTGAATTCTGGGTCTCAGGGAAATTCAAAAGGGAAGAATCAAAAGAAGGGGAAGTCCGGCAACCGAAAAAATTCTGGCGGCATTGCAGGCAGTGCAGGTCGGGGTTCCGAAGGTGACAAGCTGGGTCAGGGCTACAACGGCGGCAGTGTTGGTCGAGCTCCTGGAGGACAGCAAGCTCAACCCCCGTATTAGCAGCCACAAGCTTATGCGGGTTGGGGTTGGATGCCTCAAGGCTGGCCCATTCCTCCTTGTCCTTACCCAACACAAGGATGAGCCAGACCTCATACACAGCAAAGGCAGCCAGGAATTTTGGGCCCTTGCCCACAACAGAATCAGCAGGCCTATGCAACCTCTTCTCTTGGACAGCCTGGTTCGTATGCACCTTCTTATGCTCCCATTGACATAGAGTCGGCTATGCATACTATGACTCTTTCTCAACCGGATCCATCATGGTACATAGACACTGGAGCTACGTCTCATATGACATCCTCTATAGGTGATTTCTCGTCTTATTTTAATTTGAGCAATCATCCTAATAATGGCATTGTTGTTGGTAATGGTCATACTATTCCTATTGTTGGTTAATGGTCATACTAACCTACCCTCCCCAAGTCAAACCCTTTCCTTAAATAATGTCCTTCATGCTCCTAAACTCATAAAAAAATCTTATTTCTGTTCGAAAGTTTACCACTGATAATTCTGTGACAGTTGAGTTTGATCCTTTTGGGTTTTCTGTGAAGGATTTTCAAACGGGGATGCCGATAATGAGATGTGATAGCCGCGGGGATCTGTATCCTATTACCTCCACTCTACACAATCAAGCTTATTCTTCTACCTTTGCCGCCATCTCTCCTTTCTTATCTTAGATGTTCGTTTGGGACACCCGGGGGCTCCTATCTTAGATGTTCTTAGGAAAAATAAAAGCATTTATTGTAATAAACTTTGTAGTTCTAGCATTTGTGGTTCTTGTGTCTCCGGAAAACATATTAAATTACCCTTTGTTTCTTCCTCTTCAAGTACTACTATGCCTTTTGATATTATTCCTAGTGACTTGTGGTCATCTCCTATATTGAGCTCTACGGGCCGTCGTTATTATATTCTTTTATTGGATGATTTTTTCAAATTATTTATGGACCTTTCCTCTAGCCAAAAAATCGGATGTATATGACACTTTTTTGGTTTTTAAGGCTCATATTCTTACCCAATTTGAACGATCTATAAAAAATATTCAATGTGATAAGGGGAGGGAGTTCGATAATGGTCCATTTTTGGAATTTTTGCAAAAAGAATGACTTGTCTTTTCGTCACTCGTGTCCCCACACTTCATCTCAAAATGGGAAAGCCGAACGAAAAATTAGAACTATTAATAATATCACCAGAACTCCTCTTGCTCATGCCTCTCTTCCACCCTCTTTTTGGCATCATGCCTTACAAATCGCAACCTATCTCCTCAATATTCTTCTGAGTAAGTTGTTGGGTAATAAGTCTCCATTAGAGGTTCTTTATCATAGAGCTCCTTCATATTCTCATTTGAGGGTTTTTGGGTGTTTATGCTACCCTCTCTTCCCATCAACAACTATTAATAAGTTGCAACCAAGGTCAACACCTTGTGTATCTTTGGGTTTTCCTCCTAATCATAGTGTTTTGATTTACCCAGCAATAAAATCATAATTTGTCGTCATGTCTTGTTTGATGAGAATGTGTTCCCTTTTGCTAAACTCTATACTCCAACCATTCACTCGTATGACTTCCTTGATGATGGACTTCACCCTGCTGCCATTCACCATTTAACTCAAAATGGTGGTCTGCGCAATCATACCTCACAGCCGGCCCAACCCACATCACTCCCCTCTTCTCCAACAGCTAGCCCAACTGAATTCTCCAACCCATTCTCCACCTGAGTTGGGTCAGCATCAAAATTCTGGGCCATCTTCCCCAGTGAGCCCATTGCCTACTCCTTCCTCACCCGAGCCCATTTCACAACATGACCCAGCACCTACTACTACCAATATTCCTCTCCAAAGGTCATCACTGGTGACTCGTAGTCAAAATGGCATATTCAAGCCTAATAAAAAATTTTGTTGCATGTCGAGGTCACAAAATCTCCTTTACCTCGTACTCCGATCCCGGCTTTATGTGATCCAAATTGGAAAACGGCCATCGATGATGAATATAATGCTCTTATTAAAAATAAGACGTGGGAGTTGGTGCCCCATCCGTCTAATGTGAATGTTATTCGGTTTATGTGGATATTTACTCATAAAGTCAAGTCTAACGGTGTTTTTGAGCGGCATAAAGCGCATCTTGTAGGTGATGGCAAGACACAACAGGTTGGCAATGATTGTGGTGAGACTTTTTTTCCGGTTGTGAAACCGACGACTATTCAAACTGTACTCAGTCTTTCTTTCTAAGGCATGGCCCATCCATCAGTTAGATGTCAAAAATGCTTTTCTTCATGGTGAGCTACAGGAGATAGTTTATATGCATCAACCTTTGGGTTACAGGGATCGTACTCATCCAGATTATGTTTGTCTTTTGCGTAAGTCCTTGTATGGACTTAAGCAGGCACCCTGAGCTTGGTATAAGTGGTTTGCAGATTATGTTTTGTCTATTAGTTTTACTAATAGCAGGTCCGATAATTCCTTATTCATTCACAGGAAGGGGTCCGATATGGCTTACATTTTATTATATGTCGATGACATAATTTTCTCTACTTCTTCCGATACTCTCCGGTGTTCTATTATGTATCTCTTGAGTTCCGAGTTTATTTTCTTGGTATTGCTTTAACTCGTCATAAGGGTGGTATGTTTCTTTCACAACGCAAATATGTCGAGGAAATAATTGATCATGCAGGGATGCCTTCTTGTAAACCCTTCCCTTACTCCGGTTGACACCAAGTCAAAGGTTATTGCTACTTCTAGTGCTACTTTTGGCGATCCCACTCTTTATAGGAGTCTTGCAGGGGCCCTTCAATATCTCACTTTCACGATACCGGATATTTCTTATGCGGTCCAACAAGTTTGCCTGTATATGCATCATCCGAGAGTTGATCACGAGAATGCTCTAAAGCAGATAATACGGTATGTGCAAGGTACTTTGGATCACGGGCTTCATTTATACCCGTCATCTTTTTCTACTCTTGTTTCTTAAACTAATGCAGATTGGGATGGGTGCCCCGACACGAGGCGATCTGCATCGGGTTATTGTGTCTTTTTAGGGGCAATCTGGTCTCGGTCTAGTGCTGAGACAACCCACTTTGTCTCGTTCTGGTGCAGAGGCCGAGTATCGTGGGGTGGCTAATGTTATCTCTGAGTCGTATTGGTTTCGTAATCTTCTCTTAGAGTTACATTGTTCGATTAAGAAGGCTACACTTGTTTACTGTGACAATGTAAGTGCTATTTATATATATAACATCCCCTTTTTCCAGTTTTGAACATAGCATTCATACAAATCAAAAAAATTCACATACTAGATCTATAACACGAAGATATATAACAGATAATTAAAAATTATTGTATAACAAAACATTGCTTATCTTAAAAACAGACAAATTTTCAAGCAAAAGATGAAGAACAATTTTTATAGAAAATCTACAGGAACGTAAAGAACATAAGAAGATAGAGAAGAGAGCACAAATCGAACTGCTTAGAATCGAAATTTGAACCTGAATTTTTTTTTGCCAAAACTAATAAGCGGAGAATTAGTCGTGAAACATGATAAACATTATATAAAATAAAATAAAAAAAAATATAGAAAAAATCTTTAAAAAAAATTGAATTTAAGAACATGAAGAACAAGAAGAACATTAGAAGAGAGGAGAGAGAAAAACTAGACCAAAAAAAAAATCAGCCAAAAAAAAAGAGAGGAGAGAAGATGAGGTGGTTGGGAAATTGGGTACATTAATTATGCATAGAAAATACAAATCAGGTTTGAATTTGGCTTGAAAGTTTGGTTTGAATTTTGAATGAAATGTTAAAATATAGTATTTTTGGGCCCCAAAACAAACACCTATGAAGCAATGCCATGTCAGCAGTTTATAAATGGTCCACATAAACCAGGTTTATGTGTAGCTTTTGCCGATCAGGTATAGGGGTGAAACTAATGCAGTTTAAAACCGAACCAAACCGCAAACCGAACCGAATTAGAAATGTGGTGTGGTTTTTTTTTTTTTCTAATGTGGGTCGATGCGATTTGAGGAATCCCCAAACCGAATTAATATGGTTTGTTTTCGGTTTTAAGATTTGAAAAACCAAAAACCGAAATCCAAACCGAATTATGGCCCATATCCAAATTACAGCCTAGCCCAATATTAATTTCTACCCTACATATATAAAGCCAAAAAATATAAAACTTGTGTTTTTTAATGTCCTAGAATGTCAACCAATGTGGGCGATGTTGGAGTGAATGACCAGTTAGATGGAGCAAAAAGGAAGAGAATGAAAAATTTCGGTGTGGTTCGGTTTTCTTTTGAAAAATCGAATTTAAAACGGTGTGATTTGGTTCGGTTTCAATAGTAATATGGTGCAATGTAGTTTGAAAAATCCCCAAAACCAAATCAATGTGATTTGGTTCCGATTTGGGCTATAAACCACACCGCAAACCAAATTTTCACCCCTAATCAGGTATTAGTCTATTAAAAACAGGTAGCCTCTTTATTATCAGTTTTTTTTTTTTTCTTTTTTTTTTTTGGCGAAATAGGGGTACAACTGTACGTCTCTGTGTACCCCCTAGATACGCCAATGACCACAAGCATTTTAAAGTACAACTACACTTGTATCAATTTGAATTACCACCACAAAAATTTACTATCACGACCTCTTAGAAATGCTATTATACCAATTTTACAAAGTGCCAAAATTATGGAGTTGACGGAATCATTTATCTCCCATGTTAGAGGATTAGTGTTTCTCCCATTATCTATAATTCACATTTTTTTTTGTATTACCCTTAACTTTATTTTTTCTGTGTACCTCTTTAATCTCTTGCTTAAAATTGTGTCCATTTAATGAGTTGCGAGTTAAAATAAAAAAACCAAAAAAGCAAGAGTTAAACACAAGTATCGTAAACTGACAAGGGCTTCTGTAGAGGTTTGTACTCAAAACCCGCAGTGTTGATGCACATGTCAAAACTTGAGCGAGCAAGCCAATGTGCTTTGGACTGTTTTGAATTAGCTGGATTTGAGCCATTTCAGGGGTTGGGCCTATTTGTTGATGAGGTGCAGTGAGAAGGCTAAAACAAGGCCAAATGGTTGGGTTTATGTAGCCCGGTAGTCCTAGTTGTGGTGCTTTTTTGTATGGGCTTTCATCGGATGATAACTATGCCACTTTTGTTATTCTTTGTGGTTTAACTCTTTAGTTTTTATTAATTTTAAGGGTTTTATTTTTTATTTTATACGGAGTAACTCTTTTCATTCTAGGTAGATAAGAACTCAAGTGGTTAGAACTTCCCTTTTAGTTCCAGGGGATTGATTATCATCCTGCCATTGTGGCTCTCTAAACACCAAAAAAAAAGTATGATAAGACATTAAGACTACTCTCCATTTGTGAACCAAAATTTTCTTGTTTTCTAGATCGTATATATGATGGATTAGTGTATTATTATTTATTAGTTCGTTGATGAGGATTTAAACGGTGGTTGTCGGTTTTTATAATACGTGTCTCCGACAAGAGCGCAACTTAGTTTGTTGATGAAATACATAGTTTGTGTAGCTTTGATAATTTGAGCAATTTGGAGGTGAATAAGGTTGGGAAATTGTCTTCAAGGGAACAAAATAAGGTCTTTTTTCGAAAGGGCGAGGTTGGTGATTGGGTTAATTATTTCACTCAGGAGATGACCGAGAAAATTGAAGAAATTTGTTTGAACAAAT